GAATTTTATACCCCTGTTGCACTTTTAGTTGATGTTTTGTTCGTACGTGTCGCTGAAGTCGCGCATGGTTCGAACTATGTTGTATGAAACATATTTTATGTGTACATAATATAAATACTGCATTTAGTTTAATTATAGAAATTAATCGTTTTAAAATGGAATTTATTGTAGCAAGTGTAGATAATATGAGATTCGATATTGAAATTGCACTTGACGAACAATATGGAGCATTATCTTTACCGTTTGCTGGAATGGATAGTAAGTCATTTTACAATAAAAGGTTATGTTCTAAATTATTGTTTTTAACTATAAAATATAATTAATATTAGTTAGAAAAAGAAGATATAAACTATATAATAATTAGAAATATCGCGTCAATTAGTTTTGCCTTTTTGATTTAGGCAATACAAAAATTTGTTTATTAATTTTTCTGTGATGTTATTTTCTAAATGTAACAAAATAATTTGTAGAATCAATAGCAGCAGTATGTCAATTTTATCCAAGAGGGACATGTTTAAAAGGAGTTTCTTGTCCCTTCAGACATGTAAGGGGTGATCGTACCATAGTATGTAAACATTGGTTAAGAGGTTTATGTAAAAAGGGTGATCAGTGTGAATTTCTACATGAATATGACATGACCAAAATGCCAGAATGTTATTTCTATTCCAGATTTAGTAAGTATTTTTGTATGTTTAATATTTGATATTCTCATAATATAGAAAATAAATTAAAATGGATCATTGAATAATTCTTCAGATGCATGTCACAATAAGGAGTGTCCATTTCTACACATCGATCCAGAAACTAAGGTTCGTGATTGTCCATGGTATGATCGTGGATTTTGCAGACACGGTCCATTGTGTAGACATCGGCATGTAAGACGCGTTCTTTGTATGGCCTATCTCGCAGGATTTTGTCCCGAAGGTCCAAATTGTAAATTCATGCAGTAAGTCGATAAATAATAATAGAAATAAATATAGTTGTAAAACATATATTTTACATTATAGATACATGTAAACAGATTATTGTAACTTAATAATTATTTTCAGCCCAAGATTTGAATTACCAGCAGTGCAAGATATGCAACCAAAGGAAGGAAAGAAAGTTATGATAACTTGTCACTTTTGTGGTGAGGGTGGTCACAAAGCAATTTATTGCAATAAAATGCCACCCGATGTAAGAGAAGCACAAGTGAGGCAAGAGATGGAAGGTAACTCACACAATCCACATCATCATATTAATATGCACAATGGTCCACCCCAAAGAGGTCCTCAAAAACCATTGGAAGAAGTTACTTGTTATAAGTGTGGTCAAAAGGGTCATTATGCAAATAAATGCCCCAAAGGACACTTGGCATTCTTGAGTCACGCTAGTGGGACTAATAGCACAAGCGGTAATCAAAATCAAAATTATCGCAGATAATTGTATATATTTTATTTATGTAAAATAATTATTATTATTATTATCATCGATTTCTTTTTCCCAGATTAAGATTACTTATCACCCCCCTGTCGAAATTTATGCATCGTGCATTATTGTAAAATAGATTTAATACCATTACTATTATGTCTCGTAATCTTTAATCATTTTATTTATTACACATACCGAAGAATAAAATTGAAGATGATATTGTATATTGTATGTTGATAATAAAAGCAATTTTGTGCATACAATTACTAGGGCCAAGGATGTGGATATTATCATATATATATATATATGTGTATATATATATAATATCATAAAATTGCTATTTCAAAGTTTCAATCTTTATTGATTAAAGTATGGCGTGTACGTTTAAATATAATACTATTATAACAGGGCATAGTTAAGTAATCTTTACTAAACACATTGTGACTATTATATCAGTTCTGATATAGAATGTTATAAAAAGATATATTTACCTAAGTTTAGTTTCTTTATTTTTATAATGTAATAATACTTGGGAAGACTTTTTTCTTTTTGCTTCTTTTTTACGGAAACTAATGAGCAATATTATTCATTTAATAGTTTCGAAATCTTCCCAATGAATGTGTTATTGAAATATTTTTTGTTTATCTTGTCTAATACTATAAAATCTAGTTTTAAATAATCACATTACAAACGCTAAAAATGTGCTCGTGTTTAATTCTTTTTTCTTTTTTTTTCTTTTTTCTAAAACTATAAAATGCATAATTTAATACTAAACAGTCAATTAATATTGCAAACATTTCACCTAAATTGTATCACCGTAAATCTTAATTTAACTTCCAATATCTTGAAATACTTGCTAATATTTAAAATTTTTGTCAAATATCTCTCACGTCGTAAAGAAGAAAGAACTTTTGAATATTTCTGCTGATGTGTTTTTTTTCTTTTTCTTTTAATCGTCCAAAATATATCTTTTATCATGTCGCATTGTAATCAATAACTTCTACATAATTAGCTGGAAACAATCCATATGTCCCATCAGGACCCAATCCTTGCCACCAACCTTCATCTATGGCATCTATGTGAGTGATTATATCACCAGGATCAAAAGTAATTTCTGTATCATCCGCAGCTTGATAATCGTACAAAGCTCTCGCTTTCATACCCTCGTTATTGGGATCAAAATATAAATAAGAGCCATCAAGCTGATTATATAATTCGTTATCTGTTATTTCTTCTTTATTTGTAATAGATTGCTCAGTCTCTTGTTCATGTGAAGATATTTTAGAATCATGGGCTAAGACGACAGTATTTGTTACCGCTTCTGTACTAGAATTTACTAATACTTCCATATCATTAACCTTTTTTACTTCTACAGGAGTTGCTTCTTCAGGTTTAACATCTATGTATTCCTTTTGCTGACTTTCTTCTATAGCCTTTTTAACAGCTTCTACATGACCACCACTCTTTTGCGAAGAATGTTGAACTTGAGAAAATTTCATCTGACCAGCAGCCGAATTTTGTTCAAAAACAGCTCTAGCATTAATCGTTCTTTGAGCTATTAATTGCTGCGCTTCTTTGCTCCTTTGTCTTCTTAATTCCTCGCTTCTAGATTTATGATCATCATCATTATCTTCACTATATTGTTGACTAGCTGCTATACGATTACGTAAATTATTTGCTTCCTCTGCACGTTGCTCTGCTAACTTTTGTCTTGCTATTGAACTCTCCTTAGCAGATACCTGATAATATTGCAATAAAAGTTTTAAATGTTACGCGAGATTCAAAATTAAACAGTTCAAAGAACAAATTTCATTAACAAACCTGTTGTTCTCTAAGTTGACTTTCCTTCTCTTCTCTCATTCTAATTTCTTTTTCCAATCTAAGACGTTCTTGTTCATTTCGAATTCTTTCGTGTTCCAGTCTTTTCTTTTCTTCTATTTCTTCTCTTTGCCAAAACTGATCTCTCTCTGTTGCATTTATTTCTTGTTCCGGTATTACTCTATAAAATGAGGGATATAAATCAATTTTCAATCGTATTCAACTAAACAGAAAAATAAAAAACATACCGTTTATACGTTGTGCCAATTGGACCCGTATGTGCATCATTTTCACTACGTGGTTCATTAAATTTATATGCAGAGGCGGTAGCTCTAGCGAGTTTCTCCATAATAGCATCAACTTCAACATCATCTTCGGAACGAGCAGTAATTGTAATATGAGCACCTTTTAATAATTTTTCTACATCTCTAATATGGTTTGCACATGTTCCTTTTCTAACAATAGGTGCACCTTCTCCTTGCTAAAGAAAAAAATAAAGAACATATTCACATATTGCTCATACAATGCGTATGCTAATGAAAATTATTTAATTCTAATAAAGCGTCTCACCCAATTAATGAGTAGACATTTTGGTAGACTTGTTTTAGTATCAATGACACGACAAAAGGCATACATAATGTGACTACTACTTAAACGATCAATCATTTCTTCTAGTCCACCGTTCCCTGTACCAACAACTTTCAAATTATTTGTCTGACCTTCATACCCAAATACAGCCCTGTAGAAACACATAATTCCTTCTAATATATAATAAATTAAAAAAATTAAAAAAAACTTAATTGCATAAAAAGACAAATTTCATTCAATTCTTTAAGAGATCATAAAAAATTTAGGATAGGTAAAAATCATTATGACTGTGTTCTTACTGGTAGTGACAGTAACTATACCTAATACATATATACAAAATACAACAGAATAAAAAGTATTTAAATAATGAATGATATAATGAACATTAATGGATAAATTTGTATGTAAATTAATGATACTTTAGTTATGATGAAAGTAAAATATTAATGAAGGATAAAAAATTCAAAAATCCTACCAGTTAGTAGGCGACTTATCATCGACTACATCGTGCCAAGCAGCCACCAACGTATCTTTGTTTTTAGTTAAATTAATTGACATGTTTGTTATGAATTCATATAAAATAAGTCAAGTGATATAACGAATGTTTTAACAGTGCAACCACTGAGATACAATAAAAGATGGTCAAAGACGCATCTTCACGTGTATCTCTAGGTTCGCTTTTCTGATTGCGTGTCAACGCCCTTTTGTTACCAACTATGGAACAATAATATTCTTATAATGTTAAGATTAATTATTTTTTCAACCAAATAATCCATTTCATGATCTATCAATGCTTTAATCTCTATTCTAAAGTAATTATATTTTAAATATTTTTTTTATATTATGACGTCTCCACAGATTCGCGGTTAGAACTAAAACTTCAGGCTCTTCTTTTAGATACGAACTGTATTCAATTTTCGACACTTTAAGAATCACGTGGCCAATACATGCGGATAAGCCATTAAATTCAATCATTCAATTTTACTTATTTTTATTCAGAATTTAAAAAATAAACTTTTTTTTATCTGTAATTTAAAGAAATGAGAGAGGGTAATAATTATTTTCATCAAGAAAAAAATATTTGCTATATTATTATATATATATATTATATTATATTATTTTAAATATAATGCATGTTAGCATAAAAAATATTCATTAGAGAATTTATAACATTAATAACATTATTAATATATTAAATACAATGTGTGGAACACTTGCGAACATCTATAAGCAACAATTTCAAATGATATATTCGCGTTATTTAATTTTTATTTAACAATTAGATCATTAAATATTATATTTGTTATTTAAATGCTAGGAGAAAATTCTAAGTAGAGTTATAGAAAATAAATTACAAGAAAAATTAATTCTAAGCGAATATAGAAAAAAAAAATCTTGTTCTCATTTTAATTATGAACGGTATTAGTTCTTTGTAACTCTCCAGAATGCCTAGCATGATTCATCATAGATTCTACTCTATTCGCAGTTTCTCTAACAACATCGGATATCTCATCTGGTAAATGATCCAATGTAGGAATATGTGCTGAAAGTCTTTTGTAAACTGAATCTCTATTTCCATCCTTTTTATGCCTTCGTTGTTCTTCGTACTTCAATTGTTGCTTGAAGAATATAGCATTTTTAATAAACTCCAAAGTATTTTCAAAACTTTTTCCAGCACTTTGCATTCCTTTGATCGCACTAACTCCATATTCCACGTCATAGCATCTACCTAAAAGTTGTTGCTGAAGAGCCAATACTTCTACTCGCTTTTCCACCATCGGTGGTAAAGCTTTTCTAACGTGCTCTTGAAGCCGATAGAATGCTAACGATGGCTCGTTTGCTACTATGTGCATGTTCTCAGATATTCTTTCAGTTGCTATATATAAAAAGTAATTATTAATAAATTTATAAATAAATAAATATTATTAAGTATATGTTAATATATATATATATATAATCATTTTCTAAACAAAAAACATAGAAACATTTGTTTTGTCAAATATTACAATTAAAGATTAGAAATATTTTTCCCAACCTTTCTTCACTTTGGTTTCTAATTCTTGATCAGGTTGATACACCTTCGCTGTCATTTTTTATCAAAATATTGTTATTATTCAATAATAACGCATTGACAATTTGTTTAAATATTCTGTTCTTTATTTTAACCTCTAAAGAAATATTTATTTCAATTGCGTGTAAATTAATTATTTATTTTTATAAATGAAATGAAATTTTTATATTATTTGAAATATAAAAATGTAAATAAAGTAAACAAATGGTTGTGAACGTTATCAGCTGTTTTTAATGACAGTAAAGTGGATTCGTTTTCGGCGCCATTTTCAATACCATTTACCGGAAGTAATTCGTGTACAAGGAAGACATTTCTTTGATCGAAACGTGGCAGAAAACGGAGCGCTGTTGGCACTTACTCCAATGTCTTTCCACACGCGTGTACCTTGATAGTATAGAAACTGACACGAGTGAAGCGGTCAAATAAGGTATGAATTTATCTAATTTAACAATATTTTCTATAAGAAATTCAATCAATCATTTACACATTTACAATTAAATAACTTTGATATTTAATTAAACAATGTATTTAATCAATTGTTGTCATTTTCTTACATAAAATTCAATTAACAATAAGCTTTCAAAATATTTTATGTTTCAATATGAGATAATAAATAAACTATGATCAATGTTATAGGATTTTTATAACAATCGTTTTCATATATTTGTCTTCAAAACTTTGTTTATAACAATAACATGTAATTAATTTAAATGTCAAAAATATTTAATTATATTATGCGTATAGAATATTATTTATTAACATTTGTTTCTTATTTTATTATTATTTTTTAGAATGAAGTGGCAAATTTTATTCGCAGTTTTTGCTGCATTATGTATAAGCGTATATGGAGAGGAAGAAGAAGAAGCTGCCAGGTTGTTAGTATCTAAACAAATTCTTAACAAATATCTTGTAGAAAATATGGATATTATAGTAAAGGTAAACGGTCATAACGTTAATTTATTTTATATGAAAAAATTTGCCTTTATTTAACCTATTATTTCAACAGTACACAGTTTTCAACATTGGTAATGCAGCTGCATTGGAAGTCGAAATAACTGACAATTCTTTCCATCCCGATCACTTCACTCATGTAAGCGGAGAACTTAATGCTAGAATAGATAGAGTACCACCTTACACAAATGTGAGTCATACAGTGGTTGTACGACCACGCAAATTTGGATACTTTAACTTTACATCCGCTGAAGTTTTGTATCGACGTAAGGAAGATGCTTCTAGACTTCAAGTAGCTGTAAGCAGTGAACCCGGCGAAGGACTCATCGTTTCGTTTAGAGATTACGACAAACAATTTTCATCTCACGTGGTAAATATTTCTTCTCTCGTTCCTTATAAAAAACATGTTTTAAAAGAAAAACATTTTTATTTCGTCGTATTAATTATTTTTAGATTGATTGGGCCGGATTCGCTATAATGACTTTACCGTCATTAGCTATTCCATTTGCGTTGTGGTTTTCCAGCAAAAATAAATACGAGAAATTGTTGAAAACTACTAAGAAACATTAAGTGTGTGTGGGTTTTGTACAAATATTAAATTATAAAATAAAATTTAGGTAATTTGTAAGAAGATTTTCTTGCAATATCGTTAAGAGATCCAACCGTACCATCTGGTATATATATTTTATATATAATAGATATATTATTTATAAATATTGCCACAATATTTTTAGTAAATGATTAATGCATTTATATATTTGTAACAAAATAGTTCATACCAATATTTGAGATTTATTCAAGAGTTGAATATTTTTTAAGAAATTATTTTTCTTAATTTTTGTTAAATAATAAGAAAAGTACGTTAAACGATCATATTATTTTACAATTTATTTGTTCGATAGGTACAACTTTCATTAGATTTTTCTTACGAACATAGGAAATTGTAGAAACCAAAAAGTAAACAAATTTGAATTACTTTTCAAAACAATTTTTATTTTTAATTTTCATATATATATATATTGTATATTTTTTTGTTTTTTTTATTTTCTCTATTTTTTTTTTACATAAGTAATATATATTATTGAAAAACTGAGTAATAAAATAAAGTGTTTTTTAATTTTTCTAATAAACGTCATGTGATATATAAATACATGAAAGATTTACATGTTGTAAATAGTAAAACAATACAAAAGTGGTGTTCTTTCTGTTTTAAACAGGAAAAATAAATGCCATAGGGTTTTTCATTCTCTCGTGTTCGACTAGGAAGCACAGACTACCCATCAATAACAATTTCTATTCAGTACAAACATCAATTCAACAATTTTCATAACTTGTATTATTGATGCGTTTTATACAGTCTTGGTTGTTATACAAAATTTTATAGTGTAAAACTATATTACAAAATGTACATTATGCATATTGGTATGCAGATTTTTTTTATAAGAACTTTTACATATAATAATTAGTAGTAGTAGTAGTAGTAGTAGTAGTAGTAGTAGTAGTAGTAGTAGTAGTAGTAGTAGTAATAGTAATAGTA